AATAATATCCTTATTTTTCCAAAACCTATCTCATTTTCTGATTTCTTTTTCTGGTTTTGGTATGTAATATATTATTTAATCTTTCTAGGAGTTGCTTTTGATTTTTTCATTATCGATTTCCTTTGGGATCAGCTGTTTTCCTGCTCATCTTGGACTTCTTTTATATTGCTGTTTTAACTCAGATACTTGATGTTCCTTGGTTGACCATTTATGTTTATGACGGGAGGACTTTGACAAATAGGAGAAATAGCTTTGCCTTTGTATATATCTATTTACCTGCAAGGTCATCTTTCATGTAAGGGCTGCTTGACTGTAGCCTCCGTAAAAGCAGATGGGTCCCTCAATAAACAGGTGTCCCTTTGGGTACTGGGCAGAAAAACCAGTTCAGGTGGTCCTCCCAACATCTTCATTGCCAAAGCAAGAAGGAGTTTATTCTTTGTTTATTTTATCCCTAAGTGCTGCTTCCTTTCCTTTTTACCCTCGGGGTCTGCTGTGGAGACCAGAAGTAACCTCAGGCTCTCTCTCTGTCTCTCTTCTTTGTTTCAATACCCATTCCTTGGGCCCACCCAAGGTAAACTATCTACTATGTTAAGAAAGAAGTTATTGATGTCGGTGCTGCTTCTTATACTTAGGAAACAGGGAGGAACCTTCGGTCCTATGTTCCACCCTGACTTTTGTCCCTCAGCCCACTCTGTCACCTGTTAACTTCAAGACCTATGAATTAGTCCTATGAGCTTTCTGGGGGTGAGGGGCATGCCTCATTCACTGTTGTGTCTCTGAACTAGAACCATATCCGCCACAGAGTAGGTGCTCATGAAGTGCTTATTTCATGATCCAATGATGGGGACCAAATTATGGAGTGCCTTGGTGTCAAGTTACTTCATCCTGAAGAAAATGAGGTGTCATTGAAGATGTTTTTTGAGCAAGGAAATGTCATAATTGGATTTGTAGTTTTGAAAGATCATTCTGACTGCAGTTAGAGGAAGCCTAAAGACCAGTTAGAAGACTGTTCCAGTGATCCAAATGAGACATGATGATGAGTACTTAAACCAAATTTGTGGCAATGGGGATAGAGTGAAGGGGATCGATTCAAACAAATATTTATTGAGCACCTAGTAGGTGGCAGCAGGCTTAATCCTAGATGCTGGGGACATAGCAATGAATAAAACAAAGTTCTACTCTCACAGAGCTCACTTTCTAGTGGCAGAAAGAAGAAAAATAAACATAGCAATTTGTATACAATCTAGGTGAGGATATGATAAATGCCAAGAAGAAAAATAAAGCAGAATAAGGAGACAGACAGGTGGAGTGGGATAGAGGCATGCCATTCATGACATGGTGCTCTGTGAAGCAGTGGAGCAGAAACTGAAGGAAGTAAGGAAGCCATAAGAAAATCTTTGGGGAGAGCATTTCAAGCAGAGGGAACAGTAGGTACAAAGGCCCTGAAGTATACAGAAACTATTTAGAATGTAGGTTCAATGTGCCATTCAATAATGAGATGCTGACCTTAGGTTGGTTGGTTTTGGTTCTGTATGTAATCTGGGCCCAAAGATTAAGGACTACTTTCTAATAAAAGAAATTCTGATAAGATAATACTAAGTAGGGTAAGACCCTGATGCAGAAGGGCCTGGGTGCCAGAAAGTGGCCCTGAATGTCTCTCTGTAAACAGGTCAGCAGTGTGAAGAGAGAGGCTCTTTTAGACGTCTCTAGCAGTAGTATTGTGGTAGGCAGAATAATAAACCCCTAAAGATGTCCATTTCCTAACTCCCAGCATCTGTGAATATGTTACAACATGACAAGTAGGAATTAAGGTTGTCGGTGGAATAATGGTTGCTAATCAGCTGACTTTGAGATGGGGAGATTATCCTGGATTATCCAGGTAGGTCCCATGTAACCACAAGGGTCCTTATAAATGAAAGAGGAAGGCAGAAGAGTCTGTGTCAGAAGGGTTTTATGTGGGAGAGGCTCAACCTGTGTCTTTGAAGATAAGGAAAAAGGGTCAATCAAAAGCCAAGGAATATGGTGGTCTATAGCAGCTGACAAAGCAAGGAAATTAATTCTTCCCTGGAGCCTCCACAAGAGTGAAACCTTGCACCTAAACCAGATCAACAAAAATAAATCCAGTAAGGAAGATTAGAAGATCAAGGACCTTCCTCTTCCTAGTTTCACATTTCTCACCTGTAAAATGGTGAATGTTTACTAGGTCAGTGGTGTTCAAACCTTTTATAGACACCGTGATGGTTAATTTTATGTGTCAACTTGACAGGGCCACAGGGTCAAGAATGTTAGGTCAAACATATTAGGTGTGTCTATGAGGGTGGTTTCTTCTTCTTATTGCTGTTGTTGTTATTATTATTATTATTATTATTAGAGACAGGGTCTCACTGTGTCAGCCAGCTCACTGTAACCTCCAACTCCTGGGCTCAAGTGATCCTCCCACCTCAGCCTCCTGAGTAGCTGGGACTACAGGTGTATGCCATTATGTCAGACTTTTTTGTCTTTTTTTTTTTTGTAGAGATGGGAGGGTCTCACTATGTTGCCCAAGCTGGTCTCAAACTTCTGGCCTCAAGCAATCCTCCTACCTTGGCCTCCAAAAACACTGGGATTACATGTGTGAGCCACCATGCCAGGTATGTGAGGATGTTTTTGCATGAGAGTAATATCTAAATCAGTAGGCTGAGTAAAGCAGATTGCCTTCCATAAGGCAGGTGGACCTTACTCAGTTGAAGGTCTGAATAGAACAAAAAAGCTGACTTTTTCCTAGTAAAAGGGAATTCTTTGATAATCTTCGAACTGGGTCATTGACTTTTTTCCTTCCTTTGGACTGAAACACCAGCTCTTCCTGGGTCTCAAGCTTACCAACTTTCAGTCTGGAACTACAGCAATTAGTTCTCCTGGGTCTCCAGGTTTCCTATTTACCCTGCAAATCTTGAGACTTGCCAGATTCCATCATTGTGTGAGCCAACTCATTTAATAAATCTCTTTTTATATATATTTATATCCTATTGGTTTGTTTCTCTAGAGAACCCTGACTAATACAGCCACCAAAGTCCAATACAAATAACAGATAAAAGTGAGAATGCTTTAGCTGTTAACAGTGTTGGGTGAGTCTGGAGCCCCACCCACTCAGTGCCTCTCCCTCCCTCTTGGCTCCAGACCTTTGATGAAAACCTTTTATCTACAGTCACCACTTAGCTCTTAAACTAGATAAGTTTGTTTCTTTTCCTGCTAAAGAAGAGTATAACCTGAAAAGTGCAAGTATTGCAGTGTATCTTTTTACCTTCATTACCATGTGTGTCCGTTTCAAATTACCACAAATTTAGTGGCTTATAACAATACAGATTCATTATCTTACATATTTGTAGGGCAGAGTCCAAAATGGGTCTCACTGAGCTAAAAATCAAGGTGTTAGCAGGGCTGCATTCCTTTTGGAGGCCCCTAGGGAAGAATCTGTTTTCTTGTCTTTTCTGCTTCTAAAGGTCACCTTCATTCCTTAGACATGAAGTATTCCTCAATCTTCAAAGCCAAATCTCTCTCTGGCTTTGACACCCTACCCTCCTGCCTTTCTCTTTCACTTATAGGCCTCTTGTGACTACACTAAGCATGACTGAAGAACCCAGGATACTCTTCCCCATCTCAAGGTCAGCTGATTAGCAAACTTAATTCCATCTATAAACTTAATTTTCCCTTGCCATGTAACAGTACAGTCACAGGTTCTGGGGATTAGAACATTTACACCTTTGGGAGGACATTATTTTGCCTACCACACCATTCCTTAATGGTGGCCACTGATACAGTTTTTTCCAGAAAATAAGTGTTCATTTGTGTGCAACGTACACATGCATTCATGTACACAGGCAAATGTTTTCTTTTTTTCTTTTTTTTGAGTTGGAGTCTCACTCTGTCACCCAGACTGGAGTGCAACTGTTGATAGGAATGTAAATTAATACGGTTATGATGGAAGCAAAACAGTATAAAATGTTTCTCAAAAAATTAAGCATAGAACTGCCAGATGATCCAGCAATCCCACTACTGTGTATTTATCCAAAGGAAATGAAGTAAGTATGTCAAAGGGCTATCTGCACTCTAGTGTGTATTGCAGCATTATTTACAATAGCCAAATATGAAATCAACCTAAGGGTCCATCAGTGGGTGAACAGATAAAGGAAATGTAGTATATATGCACAGTGAAAGCTATTCAGCCATAAAAAAGAATGAAATTCTGTCCTTTGCAGCAACATGGATGAACCTGGAGGGATATTGTAAGTGAAATAAACCAGGCACAGAAAGACAAACACTGCATGATTTCACTAGTTACAGAATCTTAAAAACCTGATTACATAAGTACAAAGTAGAACAATGGTTATTATTTAA